GAGCACAACTATCTTGGTAAACCGGTAAACATGTTTTGCTGCTCGCATGCGATTCAGGAGTTTCAAGGTATAAAAGGTGTAACACTCAGAGAAAAGATAGAGTCTGCTGGGGTTTCCGATCGCAACGCCCAGCTGTTTTGATGTCTGCCTTTAACTGGATCGTTCAGGCTCTCCGATTTAAGTGTCACAGTGAGAAGCATTGCATCATTACTTTGTGTTTGTACTGAATGTACATTGTTTGGCTGTTATCTGTGGCAGATTAATAAATGACACTATTACTTCTAGCAGAAGCAGTCTCTGGCTTTTATTCATTATACCGACTCTTCTATTATCCTGCAACTTATTTAAAAGGTATTTCACAGAACAGAGGGATATCAAACAATATGTTGGAATATAACAGTGCAAGCAGGATAAATTTAAATAAATAAGTATTTCAAGGTAGTAATACAGGTCCTTCTAAAAAAAAATAGCATATTGTGATAAAGGTAATTATTTTCCATAATTTAATGATAAAAATGAAACTTTCATATATTTCAGATTCATTGCACACCAACTGAAATATTTCAGGTCTTTAATTGTTTTAATACTGATGATTATGGCATACAGCTCATGAAAACCCAAAATGCCTGTCCCAAAAAATTAGCATATTTCATCCCACCAATGAAAGACAAGTGTTTTTAATACAAAAAACACCAACCTTCAAATAATCATGTTCAGTTATGCACTCAATACTTGGTCGGGAATCCTTCTGCATAAATGACTGCTTCAATGCGGCGTGGCATGGAGGCAATCAGCCTGTGGCACTGCTGAGGTGTTATGGAGGCCCAGGATGCTTCGATAGCGGCCTTAAGCTCATCCAGAGTGTTGGGTCTTGCGTCTCTCAACTTTCTCTTCACAATATCCCACAGGTTCTCTATGGGGTTCAGGTCAGAGTTGGCAGGCCAATTGAACACAGTAATACCATGGTCAGTAAACCATTTACCAGTGGTTTTGGCACTGTGAGCAGGTGCCAGGTCGTGCTGAAAAATGAAATCTTCATCTCCATAAAGCTTTTCAGCAGATGGAAGCATGAAGTGAATGAAGTGAACGAATAGGCTGTTCCCAGAGTGCTGTATCAAGGCACCTCAGTGGGAAGTCTGTGGGAAGGGAAAAGTGTGGCAGAAAACGCTGCACAACGAGAAGAGGTGACCGGACCCTGAGGAGGATTGTGGAGAAGGGCCGATTCCAGACCTTGGGGGAAATGAGGAAGCAGTGGACTGAGTCTGGAGTAGAAACATCCAGAGCCACCGTGCACAGGCGTGTGCAGGAAATGTATCAATCAATCAATATTTTATTCGTAATATAACATAGATGACAGATCAAAAGTTTAATCTGAGTAAATGTAACATTTTTAAGGAAAAATATGTTGATTCAAAATTTCCCAGTGTCAACAAATCCCAAACAAGTTGGGACAAGTAGCAATAAGTGGCTGGAAAAAGGAAATTGAACATATAACGAACAGCTGGAAGACCAATTAACACTAATTAGGTCAATTGACAACATGACTGGGTATAAAAAGAGCTTCTCAGAGTGTCAGTGTCTCTCAGACGCCAAGATGGTAAGAGGATCACCAATTCCACCATTTCTGCGCAGAAAAATAGTGCAGCAATACCAGAATGGTGTTACCCAGCATAAAATAGCAAAGACTTTTAAGTTATCATCATCAACCGTGCATAACATCATCAAAAGATTCAGAGAATCTGGAAAAATCGCTGTGAGTAAGGGTCAATGCCGTAAAACTCTACTGGATGCTCGTGAGCTCCGGGCCCTTAAACGTCACTGAACCTCAAACAGGAATGCCACTGTCAAGGAAATAACAGAATGGGCTCAGGAATACTTCCAGAAAGCATTGTCAGTGAACACAATCCACCGTGCCATCCGCCGTTGCCAGCTGAAACTCTACAGTGCAAAGAGGAAGCCATTTCTAAGCAAGCTCCACAAGCTCAGACGTTTGCACTGGGCCAGGGGTCATTTAAAATGGAGTGTGGCAAAATGGAAGACTGTTCTGTGGTCAGATGAGTCACGATTTGAAGTTCTTTATGAAACACTGGGACGCCATGTCATCCGGACCAGAGAGGACAAGGATAGCCCAAGTTGTTATCAACGCTCCGTTCAGAAGCCTGCATCACTGATGGTATGGGGTTGCATGAGTGTTTGTGGCATGGGCAGCTTGCATGTATGGAATGGCACCATTAATGCAGAGAACTATGTTCAGGTTCTAGAACAACATATGCTCCCATCTAGACGTCATCTCTTTCAGGGAAGACCCTGTATTTTTCAACACGATAATGCCAGACCACATTCTGCAACAATCACAACATCATGGCTACGTAGGAGAAGGATCCGGGTACTGAAATGGCCAGCCTGCAGTCCAGATCTTTCACCTATAGAGAACATTTGACGCATCATAAAGAGGAAGGTGTGACAAAGAAGGCCCAAGACGATTGAACAGTTAGAGGCCTGTATTAGACATGAATGGGAGAGCATTCCTATTTCTAAACTTGAGAAACTGGTCTCCTCTGTCCCCAGACGTCTGTTGAGTGTTGTAAGAAGAAGGGGGGATGCCACACAGTGGTAAAAATGGACTTGTCCCAACTTTTTTGGGTATTTGTTAACGCCATGAAATTTGGAAACAACAGATTTTTCCCTTAAAATGATACATTCTCTCAGTTTAAACTTTTGATCTGTAATTTGTGTTTGAATAAAATATTAGATGTTGGCACCTCCACATCATTGCATTCAGTTTTTATTCACAATTTGTTTAGTGTCCCATCTTTTTTGGAATCCGGTTTGTAAACTATTTACATATATTAAATAATATTCCTCTTCAGCTGCTCCGCCTTCATGGCGTTATTAAGCGTGTGAAGCAGCACGTGAGGGGCTGTGTTTGGGAGAAGGAGAGGTTGCGTGAGGTTGGACAGGCAGATAAAGAAGAACTACTGTGCATGGATTTTTAAATCTTAGAGGTAGTAAATACATTAATAAAGCAGTGGCTTATATCACTGAATACACTATCCTGAGCGACTAACAAGACTGCTAACTTTAGCCGCCTGTTATCCGCTAAGCACCGTGTCTTCTATATGATAAGCTGCTGATTTATTAATGTGGCGTTAATCTCTCACTGTTGCTCTCATAAGGCACATCACAGCTAAATGAGTTTTGACCCATGGATTGTCTCTGGGAAGGAGGCTGAAAAAACAGTTGGAGCTGAAGCTTACAACTTAACTTATAGTGCTGCTTTAAATGGTGAAAAAGATTCGTAGTGCTGACTTTTTGTTGGGACTTGTTTTCAGCATTGTCTACAGAAATCATTTTTTCTGCTGCTCATCTGAAAATTTAAAGCCAAACCATCTCCAAATAACAGCCACTGTTTTCCTTTTTGCTCCATAGCTAAGCTACTCTTCATATATCCCATGTTTACTTGTTGTGTTAACTCCTCCCACCCCCCCCCCACCCCCCTACACACACACACCTGGAGAAGCAGGAAGCGTGCACAGGTGAGGGGTTGGTTGTTTAATTCAATGAAGGAGGGGCCACGTGCAGTTGGCAGTGCAGACGGGAGAAAAATAATTACTGTACATGGATTTTCAAGTCTAATAATGTTTGCGATGGTTGCGATAGAGCCATTTTAACCATCGTAAATTGAAAATCTTACGATACATTGAGTATATTCAATACATCCCCCAGCCCTACTGTATCATACATGATACAGCCACATAATGCAGCAGCAAAAAACATATTAGCTATCACAAGCTAATAGTCATATTAGTCGTCACAGATGTGTCATGGTGCAATGTTATTGCCAATTGTTCAGTGTTATTTATTGAGAGTTTAGTAATCTGACAGCTTGTGGGTAATAGCTGTCCTTTAGTCTTTTCATATGCAATGTCGGACTCCTGTATATGCCTGAGGGTAGTAGACGGAAGAGTCCTTATGCTGCAAGATGGCGCTGGTGTGTAAGGCTTGCTGTCCGTCGCTCTCTGTTTTCCTTTTAATTTTGTTATTTTTACAATGCTTTGCGCAGTGTACCGAATCATATTTTGAGTATCATCGTCGGGCACTTTTGGAGATCCGTTTTTTATGCTGAAATGCCTGCAGAGTTTTTATACAGCGGTCAGCACTCCCCTCCACTGGTTCTGTCCGGGATTCCTGCATTCCTTCTATGTGACCCTGCCACTCCCCTCCACTGGTTCTGTCCGGGATTCCTGCATTCCTTCTATGTGACCCTGGCCTTTCTCCCTAGAGGAAACATTGCAGACATTGTGGAAAGCATGCGGGGGGTTTGGTGAAACTGAGGCACTGTGTGAATTATTCTGTCAAGAGTTATGGGGCTCACTCTGGATCTGATCATCGCCTCTCTGACCCGTGGTGCTTTAGGGGCCCTGCTGCTGGCCAGCTACCCGCACGCTCTGTCCATGTAAACAGCTGGAGTTGTTTACCTGTGCGTGGCACAAGCCGACCAGAAGGTGCTGTTCTTCAAAATCTGCAGCCGCTGGCGCACGCTCCCCCCGCCATGGCTGTGTCTGCGCTGGACCCTATCAGGATGTGTTTGATCAACGCCAGATCCATTTCCAACAAGACTTTTATCCTCAATGACTCTTTTAAATAGGGGGGGGGGGTTCCGCAGGGGTCCATCCTGAGTCCTGTCAATTGGGCCCGCTGTTATGGAATCAGTCTGATATGTCCAGGCTTGCTCGTGTTACATGTCCGAGCGTGCTGTTGTTCAGGCCTGTGTGGGAAGTACCGACGTTTCCAGGCTAAGCTGATTGAAAACAGATGCTGGAAGCACATACACACAGCATATGCACACCCATAAAGGCACATACACTCATACACTCACACACTCACACTCTCACACACTACACAAACACGCACAAGCATATATACACACATGAAGGCACATACACACTCACACACACGCATGTAGTCGCACTCAAACATACACACACGCAAGTGGGAAGAATGTGGGGAGAAGATAAAGTGAGAAATGGAGCACATTTCCTTCAGCTGAAACTGTTATGGTTTAAAATAGAAATATGATTTGTTTATTATAAGGGACATAAGTAAAATTAATAAAGTTGACGATGTAAGCTTTTGTGATCTTAAAATGTATTCTGTTTTATATTTGTTCATGATGTTGCGAATTTAGGAAGTGAACCGTTTTCTCAGAAATGATGTTCAGTTGTTGTACAAAAAGAGTTACTCAAAAAGAGATGTTTCACAATGGCAGACCTTAAAAACAACTCCAAGCAAAAAGACAATATCCTAATAAGGCAAACAAAAGAGAAAAACAACTCAGAAGTTGACTCAGACATGTCCGGACAGAACCGGACAAAATGAGTTACACCCAGATTTTAATATGTATAAGAAGTGAGGTAAACACCTCCGTAGACATGCATGGAAGTCCTGAATCAAGTCCGCCCCAAAGAGGTGGGATTGAAGGTGGCATGATATTTTGGAGGTGTCAGTCAAACCTCACTCTATAAATGCTGACTGCACCAACAAACTGGGCTGTTGGACCACCGGATGGTGTGGATGTAAGGACAATTTTTGGACAGTTCCGGCTGAAGGAGAAGTGGGGCAAATCCGTTGAAGAGGCTTCGATTGGAGTCACTTTCTTTCTCAGCCCGGATTATAATACTTGAACCCTTTTCTTCAAATTCTGACCAGCTACAGGACCAGAGACGGACCTATTCAAGTGTGAATGGGGAAATTTGCTTCTTACTGAGCTGGAATTTTGAGGAATTCCACCAAAAAGGTGATGGTAAGAAGTCGTTTCACCAATATTGTCCTTAATAAAAATTTATATCAAATTAGAGCGGTAGCCTATAAATCGGCAGGCAGAAAGATCAATTATATTATAAATTTGGTTGCTTGGAGTTGTGAAAGATTTGTCATTGTGGTGAGAGATAACATTTTGGGGCAGGTAAAGAGTGTGGGTAAATTGTGGGGGTTCTGGAGCACCTGAGTGAGTTAGGACGTGTCCGGCCAGGAGGAAATTATCTGAGGCTGAACAGAGCAAGTCCACAGCTATCCTCAAGCTCTCCACAGGGATAGAAAACTACCTTGCCTAGGAAAGGTCAACATCTGGAAAATAACTAAGGTCTGAATATTATTCACCATGTATCTTCTTTGTAATCAAATGTAATCACTGTGATTGGATTGTACATATCACTGTCTCCCCTGCAAAGTCATTGATTAAAGCAAAGCGAAACGTAAAATTCTGGATTCTTATTTCAACCCCTCTGTTCATGGAAGTGGAAGACTTGGTTCAGTGAAACAAGAAAAGCACGGGAGGTTTTAAAAGGTTTCGTAGCTTTGATTATAAAGCAACATCTAAGAATCTTATACCTAGATTCTAAACAAAGCCAGATCGGATAACAATTGCAATGCTAAATCAGGAGATGAGCTACCGTTAACTTGCGCTTTCTCGTCTGCCAAACGTCCCCACTCCTGCTGCTAGGTCGGGCGAGGCACGAGGTGAGACTTTGGGTGTGGTGCATGGATCGTAGGTAGTTAACAATCTGGGTGAATCATCTCAACACAGCCTTAGACTAAAAACTGTCCTAGGAAACAGCTGCGGGTAATACCTGAGCCTTAGGATTAGTTCTAAGACCCCTTGGATGAGAAGGCTGCAGTGAGGTCGTGGCACGTGTCCTGTGTCTACCTCACTCGGGTAAGCGAAACATGGTGGCAGCGGTGGGATACGGTTTTTTAGTGTAAAGACCCCTCAAAGAGTAGGCGCGTATCAGAGGACTGATCAAATGCCGAAAAAGAACACAGCCCATAGAGTTGACGGGGTGTGAGCGGCTGGACCAGGCCACCGGCCAAGTACCCCTTAGTGAACCACTAGGCAGTGGGTGGGGTAGAAGGGCTTACGAAGGATTACTGACCGTAATCCAAGTAGTAAGTTAAGCAGCTAGTCTGTTCCCATCTGAAGTACAAGGAATAGGGCCAGGCGGCTCTGCGGAACAGACACTCGAGACGACAAAAATGGAAAAATGGGCGAAAGACGGAGAAGGAATGGAACTGGAGGACTAGTCTGAGCCAAATGATCCGACAGGAACAACACCCAAGTCAGAGAAAGAAATAATAGGAGTGAGGATAGGAATCCAACCATATGGAAAATATTTTGGAACCTGGCACCAACAGGTACAGCTCTAATTCAAAAATAGTAATCTGGAGAAAGATGAAGTTCTGCAATGAAACCTGATCAGGTGCATCGAAGAAAAGGGTGTGTACTATTCAATCAACCTTTATTTAGACATGTAAATCCCACTGAGCCTTGAGGACTCATTTACAAGAGAGACCTGATTTCAACAAAGAAAGATGACAACAATGGACAACAGCAACAACAATAAACAATTATAAAAAGTCATACTGCATGTTTTTTTTGTTTTTTTTTTTTTTACAAATAGCATGGCTAAAAGGAAAAGGTAACAAAACAAAAAAAAAAAACAGCTAGATTCTAAGGCGAATGTAGAAAACTTAAAACAGGAACATGTCTGCATTGGTCCCTGCCAGGAGTCCAACAGATTCTTAAAGCCACTTGGAGAGGTCAAGGTCGAGAGCTTCAAATCTTTTTGTAAGATATTCCAGGAAACAGGAGCGGAGTAGGAGAAGGCCCTTTTACCTAGTTCAGTCCTCATTGAGGGAACACTGCAGGTAATAATGTCCTGAGAGCGCACACTGTAGCTGCACTCACGCAGAGACATGTAGGAGGAGATGTATGAAGGCAGCAGACCAAGAAGTGATTTAAAGATGAAAATGTATCAGTGAGAGAGTCTGCGTGAAGTTAATGATGTCCAGTTAACCAGTGAATACAGGGTGCAGTGGTGGGTACGATAATCACAGCCAGTTATGAATCTTAGTGCACCATGATAGACAGCATCCAACATCTGCAGGGTTCGTGTAAGAGCGTTCATGTAAATAATGTCACCATAATCAATTGAGGGAAGGAAATTCACAGATACAAGGTGTTTTCTAGCATTCAGGGTTAAACGGGATCTGTTTCTGAAAAAGAAACCCAGTTTAACTTTCAGTTTCTTTACCAAGTTTTCCACATGGAGCTTAAAAGAGAGATGCGAGTCGACCAAGATACCCAAATATTTATAGGAATCAACAAACTCAATGGGGACACCTGATATAAAAATATGTTTTATAAGGTGTTAAGTCGCCTTTATGCCTGTTCAAACATATACTTTGTGTGTGTGTTACTTATAATATTTAGACACTCTTTGATGGTTAGCAGAGGGACGAAGGGGGTAGTGTATCCTCTCTAGGAATGCTTTAATAAGCATTAAGGAGTGCTTTCGACCGAAGAGCTTTGGCCCGCTTTTGCGGTCACGGCGCTCCTTACTGGAAAAACATGTTTTAATTAGATCTGTCCTCCTGACAACCATCAAACTTGTTTTTCACTGCTCTCATGCGATCCGGTCAGGGAGAGGTATAAAGGAGGTGTGACAGGCAAGGGAATTTTTGAAGTCTTGCTGTGGACTAACGCGTGAGTGCCCAGCGATTGATGTGATTCCTGTTTACCCGGGTCGAAACGGCTTCCCGACCACGTGTCACGGTGAGAGGCTCTCATATCAATTTGTGTGTTAAGAGTGTACAAGTGTACATGTTTGCTTGGCTGTTTTCTGTGGCAGATTAATAAATGACACTATTATTCCTAGCAGTAACAGTCTCCTTGTGTTTCATTTTTCCTCTTGTCTGAATATCTGGTGCCGATCATTCACGACCCCTGTTAATTTCATAATACATTTTTGGCGACGAGGATGGGATATTATTAAAATAAATAAATAATTCTGAACGGCTGCACCATGTTCAAACGAAAGGAAAAAGTGTTGAGGAAAAGTTGATGCGAGTGCATCTGGACAAAGAGTCCACAGAGGTTGTGCCGGGTTGGGAGAGTTATCCAACCTTGGCTTTGTGTTTAAGAGGTGGAGGGGGACGCCCCGAGCCTTTATGTGAGAGTTTAAAAACAGAGAAAATTTGACTCAGACGCCTGAGGAGGCGTGAGCTGAACGGAGGAACAGTTGATCCAGACGCCTGAGGAGGCGTGAGGGGAACGGAGGAAAAGTTGATCCAGATGCCTGAGGAGGCGTGAGGGGAACAGAGAAAAAGTTGTACTGGGATGGGAAGAAGTCCCATCCCAGTTGTTTTTGTTGTTTTTGAAGAGGTGGGAAGAAGCCCATCTTAGTTGTTAGAACAATTTATCTGAAAGCAGATAGTCCGGGTGATGTTTTGACCACTTTTGCAGGCAATAGAGGTTAGAAAAGATGGCACCAGTGACAGGACTTCAGCATAAAGTCAGAAAATGCAATTACATGCTCAACGGAGCAAACAAGAATGTGAGGACCGCCTGCTTGTTGAATGGACGGCACATTCAGTCGCTTGCTCAGTTTGGGAGAATGAGCAG